GAAGTGTTCCTGTAAAATCTAAACCTATTAAATGTGTTTATACATATGTATGTGTATGATTATGTGTATATATGTATATAATTGATCAGCCTGGCGAGCTAAAATTGTGCACATGTGCTTTTCTTCTCGTTTGCTGCTCGTTTACCGGAACCGTCGATATCGGACTAATATAACATATAACTGACATTCAAATTGACCGATCAAAATCAAGTTAAGGATCTTCATAAATAAATATTTTTTCCTGATTAAGTATCCTTAAATCGACCTGAAGGTTGTTTATGTATATCGAACAACGTGTCTAGAAAATACTAGAAGAAGAAAAACAGTTTTCTATTGGATGCAAACCATTGGTTGGTTACGTTTTCATATTTAGTTATGCAAATAGTTGCTATAAGAAAGGCACCTGCTTCGATGCAGCCCAATTTAACGTTTTTTCTTGCTTTAGTCTGACTTTGCTCATAGTCGCTATGTATATTGGTAGCAGTAAGGGGAGTAATCGGTTCAGTGGTTCTAGCCTATTAGATGGCATATTCTATTAATCAATTATACTTTTTACACACTTACCCATTGCGTGTATTTCTGAAAAAACTTTCTCTTCTCTATTTAACTCGTAGTACAATTCATCGTAGCTATTCGTTGTTGCCAAGAAAGTATCTCCATATGTAATAAATAAGTTAAAAATGTTTACCACCTAAGAGAAGGGAATAAATTATTTGTACAAACCCTTTGACTTGAAATGAATAACAATTTTACCTGAACTGATAAATAAAATAAATTACATTTCTTCACAAGTGTTTGCTCCTGATTGACAAGAAAGCGAAGTAATCCTATTAAAGCCGACCACAACTCCTTCCATGGATAATTCAAGCGAACTCTGCAACGTTTTTGGTAGCAAAGTATTCGATGAATAACACCGACGCAAAGTAAATATAACTCCATTGGGAATTTCTTCATTAAATGTGAAACAATAAATTCAACCAATAGATCCAGTAAGGTGGCTGCTAATGGTTGAGATTTGCCCACTCTATCAACATTTAATTTGCGATGACGCATTTGAGCACGATGTAACATTACTTTAAATGTGAGATTGCTGTCATGCATCATTGAATTTGCATACTGATCCTCCGATATGCAAGTTAAAATAAGGAAACAAAGCTTAAGATTGGCGACGCTGGATTCATTTTTGTTATCTTGCATAACAATAGAGCTGTAATTTATATGGAAATATCAAGTTGTGAAAAATTAATATATTAATAGCCAATTTAATATGTATACCAGTATTGAAAAACTGCAACTAGCAAGTTAGTCGGATATTGCGTCATGTCTATTATAGGAGCAGTAGCCAAATCAGGCACAGGCTCTGCTAAATTTAAGGTATTGCTAGGAGATGGCGGTGCACTTGTTTCGGCTTGTGTGTGTGCTAAAGTCGTAATAAAATTACGATTCAGATGAACCGCTTCGTATAAGGCTAGTAAAAGTCCATTGTTTGCTTTGATTTGCTGCACACGTTCACAGCCTTCATCTGACACAAACATATTTCCAACAATGTTTGATAAAGACGAAAACCAAGAGGAGGATTGAACATTTGATAAACTTTGCATGTACTGTCGACAAAAATCAATCAAAGATTGGGATATCATCTGACCGTACCTAAAAAATATTTATCAGTTATAAAATTAAAATGATCGTAAATAAACGACATTAAAGCTACAAATCAGTGTATATTTGAAAAACGAAGTATGCTTAATCTTTAAAAACACCTGCCATTGACTCAATGGTCACCGAATTTTTATAATTTCTTCATCCAATCCTCACTGATTCGTATGATTGCCTCTATTTTTAAAGTTGAAGTTTTACCCGTTTAGAGCCATTTCGTCATCCAATATAGATAACTGAACCACATATGGATTAGCCGCTTCATGTTTTCTATAATTAACCAATACAGTCAACAAAATAACAACGTCATGGCCATGCTGTGCCCGTAGTGTAGGATCACTCAATAAACGTACAAAATTATCAAACAGGTTATATGTTGTCAAATACTCTAGCAGGACATTTTGACTGACATTGTCAGTACCCGTCACAATCATTAGCAGTAGTTTCAGGCACATAAAACGGGCGCCCTCTGCTACTTCGCCTATAATGGAAAGCAAATTTATAGGGTAAAATTTTCAAATATTATTACCTCACCTAATAATATTTGGTTACAGTTGTTCATTAACTGTCGAATACTTTTATCCATTCGTTCGTTACCAAAAATCTCATTTAAACAAATAAATGAAGAATCTGTTGATGACTTTTTGTAAATTGCATAAAATAAGGAACAGAGCGTTTGAAGGCTATTAAACAGTCGCTTCGGATGATCTAAAAGATAAATAAAAATAGGGCATATATTTTTCGTTTAATACACATATCTTAAAAAAATTATATTGTAGCCGACCTGTTTCCATCATTTCAATGCAATTTTGAAATATTAAAGTCAGATTTTTATTAACTATCATAAACTGCTCGCATGTTAGTTTAGTTATTTCAGCTTCAAGTGATTCTACGTTGGGTTGCAATAAGAAAAATTCATTCCAAAATTCTGCACTCTCGGTAGTTGGATCCTCCCCATGAAAGAATAATTCATAAATGTAAACAACTTTTTCTTTAGGACGCTTCGAAGAACCACTTCCACTTCGTTTACGGGAAGTCATGGCTCCACTGCAGTATGTTAATTTCCACTTTTACTACACGAAAATATCTGTGATATATATCCTCTGTCTAATATTTTTATAGATTTTGTAAACGATCAGCTGTTTCAATAATAGGGTTTCATAGCATTATTTTTGTTTGTTTATTTATCGAAACACTAAGTACGTAAACGTACCAAATGACGGTACAGAGAATAATGGACTAATAATATGATAAGAAACATATTAATTGCTGACATTATTATAGTTAAAGCCCGAATAAATCAAGGAATAATTACTATGAAGCATATATACAAACTGCATTTTTGTTTCTTACTCTTTAACAAGCCGCAACAGCATTTGAAATTTATTTTACTTCCTAGCTCGATTATATAACATTATTATATATTATATATAATATTATAACGGATTTCTAGATAAATCGTCTACCTATAACTTGCTCTTGAATTCGATCACTGGATTGTTAAATAGAAGTCCTAATTTAATGGCTATACACTTATTTTTATTTCTAATTCCAACAGCTTACCGCTTTACTACTCATTAGCCGAATTCACAGCTTCTCTCCAATTCTTTACTTGGCAACACTCTAACTAGAACTGTGTTTGCTGCACAATCTGGCAGCCTGTATATAGTAAATCCTTAACAAAACATCGCCTCTATAACTTTCTGGCAACTACGAATTCGCTAACTAATTAGTTCTGGCAATTTATCATCGACTCGATTGTGTTCAATCGTCCGTGTTCGTCACAATGTGGACAAACTTTCTAATACATAGTATGACATCTGAAAGACTGTAAGTGACAAAGATTTTTTTATGTATTTCTTGGGTATTTTTGACAGAAAAATATACATAATTAAAATTAGTTTAACACGCTTGATATCCTATTTTCAAGATGGACCTATTGCAAGTCAGTTTCTACTCGCCCTGCGTCCAGAGATGTCTACGAGTTTTAAGATAGCATCAAGCTGTTTGCCTAAACTTCTATTAACTCGAATTCTCTGGGGCCGGAAGTCTGCGTCAATGTCCTTCTTTCAGTGCGTAGTACATATTTCACATACGAGACAATTTACTGCCAGTTTTCGTCGCTGGTTATAATTTTTCTACTAAATTTTTGGTATTTAGTTGACCAAGCTTGTTTTCTAATGTTCTGCGTGCTGCATTCCATCGACAGCACTTAAAAAGGTATGATTTGGGTCGTCTATTGGTTCGTCTCCGTTAATACATGCGTATTTGTGGAAATAATAGTAATTAATAGTACCTCGTGAGAATTATATTATAATTATTTATTTATTTTTTATGCAGTATTTTTGTTTAGCCCCAATCCTATGGCTATTTGAGACATTTAAATAAAAAACTTTAAAATTCTCCGTTAACTCTTATACAAAAGAAAACTAAGAAGGTAGATGCTGCACCGGTTAACTTATTAAAAAAATTGAGAGGGATTTTCTACTTAAATAGGAAACATTCTAGATAATATTCTTGTATAAAATTGTGCCAAATAGCTACATTTTATGGTTATTCAATAAAAAAATTTGAACAAAAAGAACGATATTAAGAATTTGATCATCGAAATTTAATTTATATGGCAAAAGCTAAAAATCATAAATTTAACAACTTCCTGACGTTCATTCTGGAAGGGAAAAGTGTCAACCCCGCAAACCCGCAAACACAGAAAAAATTGACAAATATGGCAACATAGTTCTTGTCGATTTAAAATATTTTACAATTAATAAAATATATTTCCATGGCTCGCAATGAAACGAACATGAAATATAATGTGCTCATACATAAACATTTCGCATGAATTAATTAGTGTACATATTTACATACACATGTAAACAGATATACAAATATTACGCGTTTTTATTTTCGTTACGGAGTTTCTTGATTCGGTCGCCGCGCTCAAAGCCCACGATAAAAGCTATGCAATAGCTTAATAATAATGTTGCTAATATTATGATTTCGAATATTGAATAATTTATTTTTATTAATAAAATTTTGATTAAATTCCACATTTTTATTTGCCATTAAAAAAATTTCTCTTAAATGTTATTATTTTTGAATCACCCTGCTGTTTCTTCAATTGATTTGCTCCGCTTGATATACGAAGATACCTATGCCTAAAAGTATGCAATAATTTTACGCATACTTTGTATTCAAGCAAAGTTTTACCAGAGAATGTTAATGAATAGAGACAGAGAATGAACAGAGAATGTTAAATAAACTGCGCGGTCTCTACTTATTATCATTCTCTGCCTACTTTCTCCTGGAAAAAAATAAAGCAATAAATATAAATTTCGCACAGCTTTTATGGATAATAGAAATGGTTTTGAAAGGATTCAATTTCCTGCCAATGTATTTTATTATGAAAAAAATGATATAAGATGTTTAGTATTTATCTTCAAAATAAGTTAACCATTAAAATCGTATGTAAATACGCATATATTATTGATATTGATTGAAGGCATATTATATACATACATATCTATGTATTTAGCATTATCTACGGAGTAATACAAATGAACAATATTTTCCGAGTAGATTATGCTTATGAAGAGAACCTTAAAATTGTCTATTGCCCTTATATTAATGAAATCGTTTTAGCAACTATACACATTTTGGGCCGTAACATATTTTATGAAATCTAGGCATATATTAATATGTTAAAATACCAATTTAAAGGCACACATATTTATGCACTTTTCTGCATATTGCAAACACATTATATTGTATGTATAAAAATATTTTGTTATTTACAAACAAACTCTGTAATTACGGATTTGCGTATACTTATTATTGGTGGATTAATTTTAATATAATGACTCTTATAAATAAATATGATATTTGCGTCTTAAATTAAATATATAATTTGATATTCTAGAAATGATCCACTTTCACCGAGACTGTATGAGCAGCTGCGTTGCTTGGTAAATCGATGTTGTCCCACTCCGTATGTAAGTTTTTCTCGCTGTCGGTCGCTTTCAACGCCAATCCCAACGATGCTGTTCTACCCGCACAGTGTGGAATGTTAAGTGTTACTGGCACTAGAAATTCAAGCCCTTGTGGACCACACATTACTAAGGGAGACAACATTGTTTCACCTACGAATAAATATCAAATGCAAGTTAGATTGATGATATACACATGCATACAATTTAATTTTTGACAGTTTGTATTACTAAAACTTTACTTTATTTACATTGCTACAAAAATTTGACATATTCTTTCGAATAACAACATCTTAGGTATACGAAGTACATACATGTTTTTATTAAATGGTTAACACGAAAAATCAAACGCCAATGGCACAATCTTAATTAGAAATAAGAAATCTGCAGTTATCGTGTCACTATGCGAAAATACATTGATTAGTACAGATAATAAAAACTGAATTCTCTATTTCTCTAAAACAAAAATTAAAATTGAAATGGCATTTATTGGCGATATGTCCATGACTCAAGCATTCTTAACATAGGCATTGGAAGTCATTCCACAAAACCAGTGCGAAAAGATTTAATTACTTCTGAACGGCTGAAGCAAATGCATTGTAATATTCTTTCGGATCGATCTAAAATTATATAAGTAGTTCAGATTCCTTGCGATTCGATTGTTTTGTGCTACTTCTTTCTATATTCAGATATATAGTTATTTTCATATGTACTTCGTTTTTTATGGATGTTACTACTCATAATATTATCACTTTTATATACATATGTAGATATATTGTAAGTATAAACGAAATAAAGAGGTGTAAAGGCGTATCGCATGTATTGAAAAAGGAAAACAACAATAATTACAGTGCCAAATTCATGCATGTTGCAAACTTTGCAAAGGCTGCGATGGATTAGATGGGAATTTTTGCTTGGGGACTTCAACTAATTCCATAAAACTTATTTTTCAAATCAATAACTACGTATTAAAATGTTTATCATAAATATTGTTATTCTGTTTCATAATTTACCCCCTACGAAAGAAATGATGTTTATGGTACATACATTCAATTTTTTTGCAAATTTATTATAATTATTAATTGCAATTGTCAGTGTAAATGTAAATGTATCTACTAATAATTTTCTAGTGTTAATTTGTTAATAATTAAATAAGTATAATATACATGCACATATGTATATAACAGCTGTTTAAGTCTATAAATATTTATTACCAATTGCATGCAGTAATATGTAGTAATGCGAAATTGTGCGAGATAGTTATACAAGAAGCAATAAATAAAGTAGGTCGTGTCGCAAACGAATAGTGAATTTTAGTTATTTCTATGTATTACACCTAAAAAGTATTGTATTTATTTATGTATGTATGTCATGAAACAAACCGTTTTCCATATCCAGTGGCGGTCCACCAACGGCTTCTCCCAACCTTGGATCACTAACTGTGAAATATATTTCTTGTCTCACGCCAGTTGGGATGGCGCCCGGTGGTATTTGGAGAGAAACATTCCAAACAGCGTCTACTAGCGATCCTCCATTCGAATCAAAGATTCCACGAGTGGTCGTGGGCTCACCTGGGATGGATGGAAATGTACCTGTCGGTGATGTAGTTGGAATAGGCGCAGCAGTTGTAGGTATAGGCCCGGCTATCGGTAACGACATGTTACTCGTATAAGGTGTACTACTTGCTTTTGGTGGACCTACAGGTAAACTTGCTTGTGATGTGTATTGAGTTTCTAAAGATGTACGGCTGTCTGCCATAGCAGCGTTAGGTGGAGGTCCAGTGCGTTTTAAAATATTTGAAATATGAAATGGTGCACGTGGTGGACGAGTGTTTATACATTTAGTAGGTTGTGGTGGATCTAAAGGTTTTATTGGTGGCCCCTCTACAACTAAAGGAAAAGTTTCAAATACTTCGTCTAAGAACTCACTCGACTCGTTACTTGATGTTTGTATTACTGCATCGCTTTCTTTTAATTCGTTGGTGGGAAGTTGGCACAATGTTGTCTCGTCGTTATCTGTGCCATCTAAATCCTCATCTATATCCTCACTTTGAACAAGAGGGGCTTTAGTTTCTGGAGGATTGGTCGATTGTATTACTGTATTTTCAATTACTGTATCTAAAGACTTCTGTAGGTCTGATCGACTTAATTCATTCATCTGATTTGCTTCAGAATACGTACAATCTGTATTTTCTTCTTTCTTCTCATCAGTCTCGTTTTCACGTGATTGCAAAATACTTTCTTCCTTTGTTTCATAGATAGGCTCTGGACGTACAGTCTCCTTTTTTTTTGAAACATATATTGGTTCTGCCATGCTGTCCAACGCTTCGCGACGAGTTTGGTAAATTTGCTCTCTTAATTGAGCACGTGTTTTGAAAGCACAATCTTTGATGTCTCGTCTACTTTGGTAAATTGATTCACGTTCGGATTTGTCATCACGCTCTGATTGACTACTACTATGTGGACTGCAACCTTGCTCCCTGTTTAGTTTTTCTTTATTAATTCGTTCCTGAATCTCTTTTTTGAATTCGTTCGGTTGATTTCGTCGAATGTCACGTGGCAGATCCCTGCGGTATTGATAAGTTGGCTCTACCATTTCCTTTACGGTCGAACTATAAAAATGCCTGCGTGCCATAACTTCTGAATTTGGAGCTCTACGTTGATTTTGTGAATTAAAAGCATCCACTTTACTTTGGTATACGCCCTGGTCATAGTCTGACCCAATGGAAGAATCAATAATTGGTCTTTTACTACCAATACGGTCGGCAGTTGTGGTACTATGCCGTCGTATTATATTCCGGCCATTTGGATTACGAGCTGCTATTGCCTCAGCTTGTCGGCGTTCCAAATCTATGAAAGCTCTATTTTCATATAAATCTTCATGCTCAGAAGTTGCGAACTCTTCTCTCGAGCCTCTATGCATTCGAGGAACCGTACCCATATTTCCGTATATGTCTTCACTTTCTAAATTTTGATATGTACTATTTACTAAGTCATGGTGGTATTGACCATTGTATCGTTGTGTATAATACTGTTCTCTTGGCATCATGTTATGGGAAACCATGCCATTTCTCTGCGGCCCATGATAATATCGATCCTCAAATCCGGCTGGATATGTGGGATATTCATCTGGGTAATAAGGTCTTTGCATACCACGTTCAAGCATTGAATGCTGTCGTTTAATCGATGACTTCGGCCTCCGTTCTGGTTCAACCATACTGTTCATGCGCCTTAAAGGCTTCGTTGTTTTTATAAAAGCGTTTTTAATAGCCACCAAAGGACTTTTCAATACTGATTTCTTTTTTGTTTTGTGCGGTGGTAAAGGTGGAGGCATTATATTTTCTAAATAACACTGTTGAGGCATTTGATAAGTGTAACAATCAGCATTATGATTTGATGACAGTTGGGGTAGAGCAATTTGACCTGGGTAACTGGAGATTGAACGTGAACATGGATGACCTGGTGGCGGGGGAGGTGGTGACATCGCATAAAAACCTTCAAATCTTTCTTCATATGGCTCCATTTCGCTAAAGATGTTATTGAGTGAATCGAAAATTGAGAAATGAATTCAAGAGGAAAGGGCATTCGGGCCGGTTTCATACATACACGTAAATAAAAAGGTTCTATGATACTTTAAAACTTGATTTGACGAAAACTAATATAATTCTATGAAGTTTCTTTCTCATTACATTATCTGATTTAAGTGTGTATGAATGTGTATAGGTTTTAAATTAATTATACTAAGAAAAGACAGATGCAATTTCATCGTAATGAAGTTATTCATACATAATTAATTAAGATTGAAATTAGTTTTCGTAAGTTTGCGATTTTATTGATTTAAAAATATAACATATTGACCACTTCTTGTCCTACGTTTTTGGACCTTTTTGAAGGAGTATACAAATCAAAAAACTTAAACTACGTTGGCCCTTGTGGTTCGCGAATGAGTTTCTTACAAAAAATAACTCATCTTTAACTTTGGGCATTTGACAAGCATTTGGTATTCAAGGGAATTATTGTATCAAAAATCAATAAATACAACTCTGCGCTTTGATGTCAGGAAATAAAATTTGCGTGTGCAAAATGTAAAAAGTCCGAAAGGGGTAAAGTGGGAAGTCTACGGGAAGAAAGTACATATTGCTAGGTAGTAATCTTTGCTTCTTGTTTCTAAATGTAAAATATGATTTGATTATTGTCCTAATCGTTTTACAAATCAATAAAATCTTCCAAAGTGTCAAAAAATACCAATTACATATTCTATCAACTGGTTTGTAGGGTTTAGTACCTTGAAATTGTACGTATACTTCCATTAAGACGTCTCTTGAATTTTTTCTTATTTAATTATTTTCTAATTTTCGTCTTATCAATATATTTTTGTGAATAACCGGCGATTATTTTTTATTTTTGAAACAAACATTCCAACTCTTTATTTTGCAATACCAATCGGAGTTATTATATTCACTTGTAACTTGCACCAAATATTTATTTAAATACAAATATAGAAATTCTAAGGGAGTGTAAACGGATTTCGAAAATGTTATTTATAGGTTAGTTCAGTACCACGTATTAATATATGTAAACTTATTCTTAAGTAAAAGTAGATTTATACTATAATCTATGTGAATGCATTATAACCCACAACCTCATTTTATAAGGCAATCAGAAATTAACTAATTACAAATGCTAAGAAAAAGTTAATTTAGGGAATAAGCAATGTATATTTTTCTTTTCTGAGAGTTGAATATGCAGTATGAATATTTAATTGTTATCCCGAAAAATGTTTTATTTTCATTTCTTTGGTTTTGCAAAATAAAGGTATATCACCTCGTTAAAATTATTATTTTTACCTCAGTACAATATTTATGAAAGGTTTGCTTTGCACATAATAAATTTTGATTAGGATTAACCGGGATAAATCACAACTGTATTTTGTATATAAACAAAAATAAAAACATTTTTCGTTGACACATATCCTTGAAATCAGTGATAAAACAATGGAAAAGATAAACAAATTGCTGAACCTTGAATGAGCTTATTGATAACTTGATTAATTGTTCAAAGCAATATCTAAGTTTTCCATTTGTAAGAAAAATTTATGTGTATATAAGTAATGTAAGTATGTTTTTTGTGACCTTTACCTCATATTGTGATGGTGTCCTGTTGTACCAATTTGAGGTTTGCGATATAATTCAAACGCGGAGCCCCGCTGCTCTCGACTGCCGGCCAAATCCAGTGGGTTTCGTTCAGGTGTATGTGAGGGAATATTTCCTTAAACAAAAGATGAGTTTACAATTTACATGACTGCCATTATAACTTTATTACTTGATAGAATTAATCCTGAGTAAATAGATTTAGTCCAATGTAAATACGACCCCCAAATATGAATATACAAGTATGTGTACCCGAATATACAAGTGTGCGATCAGTGGACGCAAAACAAACTTATTTTTACAACTGAACTATATATTATATATATATCTAGGTATTCCATATCATGCAGTTCTGATAATTATTTAATCGAATTTAAAGATGCTACCATTTAAACATGAGCCAAAGTTTAATACATATGTGATAGTCCGGACCTAATGTTTGTACACTATTCCTGTGGTTAACATTTAGCTTACCAATTGGAGCTGGCATTCCACGATGTGGAGCAATATAAGGTCCTGTACCACTGCCGCCGTTGTAGTGGTGGTTACCAACATATCCGTTAACTGGAGGTGCAGGATATTGTGACTGTTGAACGTAATTACCACCGCTGCTATATGTTGGTTGCATGTTGTTGTTATTATTATTACCATGGCCTGGTGAGCCAGGTGTTTGCTGGGAGTAATGATGATGAGAGGCTGTCATGGGCGAATAGAAAAATCCATTTGGTGAACGCGGAGAGCTCGAGTCCTGGCGATCAATATTTCTTTAAATAAATACATACATTTATGGGAAAATATTTTTGAACGAACCCCACTTTCCCACTGTCCTGTGTTGTTACCTCCTTGCATTGGTGGGCGGTAGTTTTTCGGCTTGGGTGGTGGAACTGGTTTAAAAGGGCCAGTACCATTTGTCGATGATCCATTACTGGTGTTATTGTTTACATTTGTCTGCACAATCAAATGTGTATTTTTCGGCAATTTGTTGTAATCAGCTTGCGTAACGGAGTTATTGCGGCTATTGCAAAATGTTTTTCACAGTGATGTTAACGAAAAATTAAGACGCGGACAAGTTGAAGGACAAGTGACAACAAAATCGGGTGAACAGAGGATGAAAAAGATAAAATATTAAGATACATGGGAAAACAAACACAAAACTAACGTAATGAGCTAATGAGAAAAAAATATACTACATACACAAGTAAATTATAATGTCTGTTAAAATTTAAATAAAAAAAATATGGCTACAAATAATGCATATACATATATAATAATTATTGCGTGCATGCAATGCATAAAGCTAAAGTAAACATTCGACTCGACTTCATCAGTTATATCCGCTTTTCACATTGCACTTACGTTAAATAAGTTCAATAGCAAATGGGTAAATTGCAAATTGTACGGTGTATGGAAGAATAAAAGAAAGAAAACATTGATACATAAACTTCCTACATTAGGCTTTATTCGTATTCAAACAAGTGTGTCGTAAATTGATATAGTTTCATTAATATGATATTTTTGGCGTTCTAGAATTTTTTTACAGCCGATTTTCTCATAGAAATTAGGCGCTAAGTTACATGTAGGTATGCACAACATTGATTTACTAGCCAACATTGTCGGTTTACAAGCCATGGCTGGATGTCGATAATGCAAGTGTATTGGATGTAAACGTAAATGATATCTTCTTCACCGTTTCAAAGAAAACGTTTTCAAATTAGTATTGAGTGGGTATGTGAACATTTAAAACGCATGTTATGTAAAGAAACGTTTACACAATCAGAAATTTCAGTTTTGATTTGTTGTCATGCAGTTTATTTTTTTTTTTTTAAAGAAATAAATAAAACATACTAGTTACTCATTGAAAAAGCAATCATTTAATAAGTAATACCGCGGGTATATCAAATGTAATGCATTTGTGACTTAACGGAAAAACAAACCACAAATTTAATTAACCACATTTAGAGCACTTTTAAAATGTATTAACGTTTTCAATATTCTGTCCAATATAAAATAAGGGTACTAATTTTCCTTTAAAGGTCTGATAGCGGCCTAATATAACACCCGCGGTATTCATTGTTAAGCAGAATATAAAATTTCTTAATTTACTTACCTATATTTTCCATAGTCGGTTTTTGTTTCGACTACCGGTTTACGTGGACTGTTCTCAAGTCCCGAATTAGATGATCTATGCAATTGCCCGTTACGGGAATCTAATAAAAAAATTTAACAATTCGTTTAATTATATCATAGGTAGCAATGTCAGATAGAAATTACCGATATTTCTAGCTGTATTGGCTTCATGATAAGTGGCTCTGGCCGGACTTTGACGATTAAGATCATTGGGACCTGAAAAATTTCGATGGTCGTGATTGGTGCGGGCATAGTCCACACCCTTAGAGCCAATGCCAACTGGTGGTAGCGGACGACTAAAAAAAAGAAACGTAATGTATATTAAATTTTTCAAATATATTATTATATATTTAATTTATACTTACTTTGCATTCGGCACTGACTTAAGATCATCGGGAGCATTTGGCCCAAGCCTGCCTAGATTTTGTACAGTTAATTGAGAAGCATTATATGAATCATAACTGGACATACTATCGTACGAACTGGCATTTGGCTGTGTTGCTTTATTGCCCATACTTGGTTGGGTAGATATGGCTGCATTGAGAAGGGCTTGTCGCTCTAATGAAGAATGTTGACGATCGATTGAGTCGTTGATATTGCGAGAGATGTATTCAGCTTGCACTTCATCATTGACGATCGCTTTGGCGAAGAGACGTTCCTGAGCTGATCGGCCCAACGTACCACCCGAACTATTTGTTCTAGAAGGTGGGGGTATCTCTCCCAGACCTGGCTTCGATTGACGATCGATGCGCGGTGGCAGATCAGGCGCATGCATCCCATACAAAGAATGTGGACGTGCTGAAGGTGTTGTTGAAGAATCGGTCACTCCACCGCTTGCACCAATTATACTTGATCGTGTCGCATAAGTCTCATACTTATTGGCTTCTATGGTTTGTCGACGATTAGAAGGTGCATTAACGGCAAGCTCGTAAGGAACCTTATTTTTTTAAGAGATTAGTTTAATACGAGTAGAAATTATCATTCTTTATTTTCACAAATGGACAAGGTTTTGTTAACATTTTACTAGCAGTAATATTTTTGACAAACGTAATATTAGTTGTTTACGTAATATTTCAATCAATCGTAATAATTGGTTGAATGTACGAATAAATAGACTTAAATAATTTCCCGCATTTTAAATGTTAGCAAAATATATCACAAATAAATTAACATACGTATGTGTGTATAAGGGTGAATGGCTGTGTAGATGTGTGCCTCTTACCGTATATGGAGGTGGTAGTCCATCACCAACTGTATCTCTATCCCTATCCAAGTTATCCTGATTAGTGGCAATTGACGGATCTGAGCTCGATTTAACCAATTGCGGCAAATTGCCAAGGGACAATGATGTCGATGGTCCCGGACTTAATTCCAAATCGGATTCCGGACTCGATGCGTACGATAAACGGGAGGTGGTCATTGGGAAGAGGAAATCATCGGACAGGGACTCAATAGGCTAAGGGTAATTCGTTAGTGATATGAAGTATAAGTAAATTTGTAGGATATTATTGTAAGGCAAGGAAGATATGATTGGTTTGATCAATATTTGTATTTACCAAAGGGCGAAACAAAAGTCGCATTTTAATACGAAAACAAAACAAAGAAGGTTTTAAAAGTAGCAATTAACGTTGAGAGAGTAAACATAAAACAAAAACAATTTCATTACAAAAAGAAACGAAATAAATTTAATAACATATATAATTAATGTATATATGTATGTGTAGCCGAGCGATGATGTCCAATGAAATCGAATAAAGTCAACAGAAGCCGGACGAAGGACAATACGAGTAAGGAATAGAGGTAAAGTACATTTCATATTAATTGGGATGAGTTCAAGAGTAAGGGATTAATAAAGCAGGGAAATGACCATGATGACATTTGTCGCAATGAGTTTCATTAACATGGGAAAAAATGAAATAAAAATACAAAAACATTTAGTTAGCAACAGTGTGATATGAAGGTATACATGTATGTAAGCATGTTTATAAGTATACGCCTAATAAATATAATGGCATATTATTAGAATTTTGTTTTTCAACTACATATGTATATTGTACATAAATATTAAAATGATCGAAAGTGTAAGTGTAAGCATTATTAATTCTTATATACTTATAATATAATAGAAAACCAATTTGTTAATGTCTTTAAAAAGCAAATTTACTCTCTGGTACACTTACATATTAGCATATATAATACATACATATGTATATGTTTGCAGAACTTGGACATCAAGCTAATAACATACAGAATTATATAAGTACGTATATTTACATTATAAATTTGACGAACAATTCAACACACACACATTGTAACGGAATATATGCCTAGGGAAAATTTTTATACAGATGCAACGAAGTAACTTTACGTGGGAACTGCGAGTTGCATTTGAGATCATAAACATATGTATTTGAAACAAAATAGTGGCTTACACCATTCACCATACGTGCAGTTACCTCAATTCTATTAAATTAATATTCAATCTCATGCCATACGTTCATTGCTACTGCCAAAGTTATTATTTGATTCAGCAGAAATTCTGCTTATTTTGTTGTTTGCGTAGTAGCTATTCTTGTTAAAGTTGTGATAATGCATGCTAGGTGGCGATGAATTTTTAATTAAGGAAGCGGAAGGAGGGTTTAAAGTGGAAAAGTTTCTAGCAGCCGGTGTAGGGACTTCACTTCCTTCTACTTGGGCATCAGCTTTATTAATATTATTTAAAATGTTTTTGGATGAATTGATTACAGGATGGTCTGTTAGTGGCATGGACGCCTCAAAATTACCGCTGTGATTATCTTTCCCGTTTCCACCGTTATTGTTTATTATAGTAGTACTGGCCGCAATGTCGATTTGTTTGTTGTTTTGTTTACTATTTGCAATTAAATGGGAGTTGTTTATACCAGTTTGCGAAGCTAACGCATCGGTGTTAATTATAACGCTTTCGTCAACTCTTGCTAATGACACAGGTTCTACTGACCTTTGGAACGTGTTAGATTGATCGGTTGTTTTGCTATTGAAATATTCATTTGTGTGATTTCCCTCTTTTTTCGTATCGTTTAGTAAATTTAACTTCGAGTCAAATATCGCCGGTTTATGTATGAGCTCGTTGTAATAATAGGCAGTGGTACGCGGTTCGACGGTATGCGGTGTACGTCCAATATTTCGCGAGGATGCTGTACAAATGGATCCATTACTTTTGGTATTATTTAGATTACCATCACAGCTATTGATCATTGAGAGTCCATTTATAGCAGAGGTTATATTTTCTATTGACATACTATCATGACTTCTAGTGCTTTCGTGGTTTAGCTGACCTGATGGACTTAGTAAATTTGGTTGGGAACTGTGGTACTGTGTTACTTTCTCAAAGGATACATTACTGGTGTTATTCGAGAAATGCATACCTGAAAACTTTGTGGCTAAACCACCAGGCATAGATGAGGATGGCTTTATAATAGGCACAACTTTGTAAAAGCAATGTTGCTGCTTTAGCTTACCAGCTGGCGTATTGGGAATGGAACTATAATTTATTTCGTTTCGTAATGGTGGCGGGCGTGGTGGTGTTAGAGACCTTTGGTGCGTTAATAGTGAGAAAGAATTCCGACGCCCAATGGAATAACGGGCAATTGAAGATGATGTAGGGCGACAGCAAGGGAAGTTGCATGGTGGTGCGATATGTGGAGGGAATATCATTTCATTTGAGGACTCTGGGAGCTATGGGATTATGGAGGGATGTGAAAAATATTCGAATTGTTAGAAATTTAATAGTTACCTCCACCAGTTAATATAGATAATAATTTAATTATATTACATATAGTCTACCAAATTACAACATTATAAAAATATGTCTCTCTTTGTATGTTCTCAATGTTAGATTCAGCTATTCGAGTGAGCTAAAAGTGGCAGCCATATTTACTATATCCATGTAGCAGATTTTGTAAAAGTATTATGCTACCATTGAAAACATACTTGGATTATTGAATTTGATTAATATTGCTTTCAAAATAACTTTTACTTATTTTAACATTGTATCAGTGTTAATATTTCCTATATACTAATTCTATAGCAAGTGAAACCCCCTTTTAATTCTCATAAAGCAGGTTGCTATTTTTGGGAACTCTCACAATCTAAATCAGTCATACATACATACATACGCATGTAGATACATATGAATTTGAATCTGTTCGATGATTGCAAGAGTGAAAGCAATATACATATGTATGTATGTATGTGTTTATGAGAATGGACAATTTGAAATTAAAAATGATTTAATTAGAAGCATTCAAGCGGCCTAGTCTGAAATTCCATTAGGCTATCTCGAAAGTTTATAAAAATCCATCCCTGAACGAATTTATTAAATTATCTAAACCAAGCTAGTAGCAAAAACATATTAAAATATTAAACATATTAAAAATAAATGAAAAATTAACATTTTTCCCGTATTTCTTTATTTTTTTCTTGCTTGGATAGTGCCTTTATTCAAGTGTACCAATAAATGAAGCACTATATTACAGCTGCTGAAGTTTTACAGTTACGAAAGACCCTTAACTGAAATAATATTTCGATGTGTGTACATTTTTTAATAAAGTACAGTTCTCCTTTAAATAATCAGCAAATCATTTGCTTGTAGATTAAATATATGTAGTCGTTGTAATCAGCATTTGCTTTCATAAAAATCAGTGCCTCTAATCAAGTGAACCGGACTGTATATACATTTATGTCTTTATCTCATTCGATAATTTGACTTTGTACATGATTTTTTTTAAATAAAATTTAATCAAATCAATTTAAAAATGCCATCGAAACACGTGAAATTTGAAAAGAATTGTGTGGCTCAAATAACTGAAATTCATAATTAATAAATATATGTTTTTGTTTTTGATGATGTATTATAAAGATCTACTATGAAATTATTAGTAAATAAGTCATATTTTCCCAAAATACAATAGTATTTTAACGAGTAATTTCCTTACAAGGCATAAGATCGAGGTTTAATTCTATGTAAGTATATCTGAGCAATTAGGTACATTTATATGTACTATGTGTTAAACTAATATACATTTGCTACATAAATTCGGTGAATCATTTTATTTAAAATAATATAGTTTTGAATATTTGTGCGAAAATTATTAAAAATATTGTGAATCACTTCCCTAGATTCTCTTACCTTTGACTCAGACATCCACACCGCTCCACTTTGCTGCAGATCAATTGCATCGCGTAGCTTTCGATACCATGATTCCTCATCGTTCAACACAATCTGGGTGCTAAATATATGTGACCAAATGCGTTCGAGTTTTTGACATTGTTCTAGCAATTTTTTCGAGCTCTTGTGTGCCGATTTAGGCAATCCATGTCGCAATTGTTTAATGACATGTTTACTGTCAGTCTTCAAAAATATAACAATCGGATAGAATTGCGCATAGTTTAGACGGTCAACCGCATTTGGAGTTATATCCAGTAGGGCATGTTTGCCGCGATCCATTATATCTCGTATATTTGACAAGCGCACTATTCGACATTTCGAATTCGACTTATCATCATCTTGTAGAGGTACAGAAAACTTGTCGCGGAAATCCTTAGCAAGCTTTTCACGTGCTAAATCAGAGATTGGGCCAAACAGTACAAGCGGTCGAACGAATCCGGGGTGACGCAAAACAACTCGTTCATATGCAGGAAATTTTGATATGCTGTCGGCAAAAACAACGTCATCCCAATTTTCTCTAGAAAGGCTCTTAGAACGACGATGAGTAGACCTGTTATGTAAAGAAACAGTCTATTATGAGTAACGTTCATTATTCTTAGCTAATCGAATGAATGATGAAAAACAATATTTTAATGAATTGAACAAGTTAGAAACGAGTGAAATTCACAAAAGCATAGTAGTAATAGTAAACGAAAATTCATTAGATCAGTTTTTTAGGTCACAGTCGAAGATCGATTAAAATGTATAAAAGGCTAGGTTAAATAAATTTGCTTAAAACAGTGAATTTTACCTCCTTCTTCTGAAAAAGTTTCCGCGAGATTCATTTGAATTCATTTCTTTTTTGTTTGCATTAAATTGTGCTGTTGCCAACTCTTCAGCCCGGGATTTATTAGGGATAACACCGCGCTGCATCTCTTGGTGTCCTCTACCTATCTTCAGCACTTGCCATGAGCCAACAACACCGTTGTGTAATGTATCGATTACACGAAAAACGTCTCCGGCTTTGAACGCCATCTCACCTTTCGAAGGATTGTCACAGTGAAAGTGTGTTTTAATGTGAAAGGAATCCCCACGTTGATTCGTCACCACCTCATCATAATCATCCTTACAAAATTGCACAATTAAATCGATGCGATCTTGCAAGCTGAGTAGAAAAAGAACAGCTTCTTCACGAGTTACACCATGCATGTCCATATCGTTGACTTTAAGGATCTTATCTCCAGGAGCAAGTCCTTGTAAAGATGCTGGGGAACCAGGTTGAACGGCCGTTACAAATATTCCAGATTCGTTTCCACCCGTCAGTCGTATCCCCACGCTTCCCTCTTTTTGGAAGGATATAAATCGTGGCTCCGACGATTGTCGCGAATGTGCTATTTGGTCTGACTCAAATACTTGTCGACGTGTACTATAAAAGTCCTCTGTGTTTCCATTACCACTGACACGAGGAGGAGGTGGTCGAGGAGGCTCATCGGTTCGTGTACGGTTACTATTTGGAGGGGTTACTGGACGGTCGAGCTGTGAAAGTGAAACACCATCCATGATGGGGCCTCGTGAACGACCCCTTGGTGTCAGATTACTTTTTTCGTCATTTAATCCATTTGCTACACCATTCATCATCGAACGAGTTGGCGGTTGAACATATAAATTCTGAGATGAGTAATTTGCACCTCCCAAATATGGATCATCCAAATTATTACTGCAGTTGGAAATCTGTGCTTGGTGACTCATATATAAATTCGATTGTGTTGCTGAGTTATTTAACTGATTGGTCATTGCTGTTACCGCCTGATTGGTGATATCGCGTAAAACCACCAAGTTTAGACGTTCCTTACAGCCATCGATAATTTTTTTTGCCTCCTTCAAATTCATTGTGTCTCCACAATTTGTGTTATGTATTCTCGTAATTACATCACCTTCTTGCAGCGAATAGCCATTGGCCGTTAATTGGTCACGCGCTCTCGTTGAAATTTCTTTGATGAATAATCTACAGCCAAGCACAATGCCATAGTCATCCTTTTTGCTGCTCTTTGATAGGGTAACTTTGATGGGTTGCGATGTATTGTTTTGCACAAAAGTAGTATTCAGCGAATTCGATTGACTGGCGGTGTTAGGTATCGAACTCGCTGGTTGAGTTGGTGCACCGTTTGCATTCGACGCAGCTATTCCTACCGAGCTCATGCTATGGGAATGATGATTCTGTGCGATGGAACTAATAGGCACACGTCGTTTAACCACAAGCGCCACGGTGTTGCCGCTATCCCTTAAGACTTGTACAGCAGTAGCATATTCAACATTTTCTAAAGACACTCCATTGACCGATATTATACGATCGTTAACTCTAAAGATAAAGAAATGTAATTTTGTATCATTAACATTAAACATACATATAAAAAATTAAAAAAGCCTACATTTTTTTACATATCTACAAAAATTTTCATGCTTGTAAATAAAGAAATTTGCATCGAAGCTCATGCAAACAGAGCTAATTATCACCTTAGGCGATATTACCAGAAACTACTGAGTCATTGAAACTTTAGTTAACCAAAGAATAACTAATGAAGTAATTTTCTTTTTTTTCTTTTTATACTCTTTCATATATATGAGGTGCCCGAATCTGAAGTCAATTAACATTCAGTTGAAAATAATTCAATTTCAATTTGTAATTAAAGAACTTAAAAGAAGTTTTAATGTAGCTATTCCTATATATGTTTCCAAAACTGTAATATTATATTAAAAATCATATGGGGGCTCCATAAGTTTTACCTAACCGTTTTGACCTCCTCCATATGGATATTGGATTTTGATTATGACATTTACTGACTGAAAGGAACAAACCTAGAAATCTAAATGAAACTATAACATTGTTAAAATGAATAAAACCGATCTTAACTTATTATGTGAGTAAATTTTATATTGCCTGTTGAATAGGTTGAGTTGGAAGCCGGCATCAAACCTATATTCTAAATAGTGATACCTGCACATCTAACTAAAGCACCATAGATACATGCCATAAAACATATGATTTAAATAATAAGATATACATACTCGTATACACCTAATTCGGTTTTAACATGGTTTTAAATGAATTATTCAACGATTTAATTTTGCGAAATATTCATCATTCATCACAAATATAATACATCAAGATACAAGTAAGTTTACTGGCACAGGAGAGCTTGGTAAAAACATATTATAGGCAAATTTTAGAGTGCGTATCTTTGTTTTCTCCAATAACTATGCTTGGGGAAGTACACATTATATATTTATTAAATAAAATATTTAATAAAATAAACATTAGTACTTGTTATTAAAAAAAACCTTGTTTTTCACCATTTTTATTAGGTTTTAAAAATAAGGAACCAATCACTTGTTTTTGCATACTATCAATGTCTTTTTTGACACGATTTTTTTCTGGAACCAATCTACCGTGTAAAAACAGATGTAGGTGTAGGTATTTTATTTGACAGTTTGGCCAAACTCTTCGAAATACGAAATTATATTTCTAATAGATGCCCTGTAGAATCGTTTCTCACTCCATTTACGTCGTTCATAATCGATATGTACTTAAATTATTCATTTAATTACTGCCTCTATGCTTCACGGTAGAAGTAGTGTACCTTAGGATCAAGCTCTTTTCGTTTTAGCCGCCTTACATAACTTTTACCCTATCTAAACACATTCTGTTTATCTTTATTTCGTCAGAAAACAGAATTTTTTCATTCACTTGTTGTCAAGTGGCTTTATTTTAAAGCGATCTCCAAACAATTTTCTCTATTGCGATCAGAGAGCAGCGGCTTACTCCTGGAAATAGTTTATCTTCTCTTAATGCTGTTTTACGTGTTATCCTTCTATGTGAAATTTGTTTGGGAAAACTTTAGAATACAGTCCCAGGATTTTGGGGATAAAATACATATGAGGGGATAAAAGATGTTCTCTAGATCAAGAATATAGCGGCGAGAAACTTATAGTTTTCGAGATATTTTCCATTAAAGGGGAAAATTTCGACTATTTAAAGAACGTAAAATTTATGATATATGAGTACGAGTAGTCTTATATGTACATACACAAATCTACAAGGTAAATAAAGTTTTCGCATGGTTTTAACCTGCAAGCCTTTCTTCATATTTACGCAACAATATCAAAATTCCAATATACGCATATACAAGTACATAGTATATACATATGTAACGCAACTAAAATATATTTACCGAATTTTTAAATATTTAAGCTAAAACAGAAATAATAGAAAAGGTAAAAGTCAACTATGTCAACCATTGTGACAAAGAACGAAATATAAGAAATTAGTTTGTTCAGCAAGCATACGAGTATATGTATCTGCATATATATAGTATACGAGTATGTAAGTATGTATGTAGGTATTTTAGATTAGGGGATTTATTCACTTAACTTTAACTGGCATACTTACAATTATTATTAGCCCGTATATTTCGACTTATTTTCATACATACAGACTGAACTTAAACGAAATAACATATTTTACTGCGTTTAAATATTTAACTTCGGCTGCAAATATATTCAGCTCCACGTTGCCATGTACGTAGCTGCTGTCACTTGATTCAATATAATCTTATAATTTAACGAAACCTACTAATAATATATAATACTAATCAGTCATTAATAAGCAAGTATTTGTCCTAAATCCCAATACTTTGGAAAATGTTTAACAAACGGAGAGGGAATTTTGTACACGGGTTTGTTAACTACAATATAGGCAGAATTGACGGACGGACGGACGGCGCGATGTTTTGGATTGGGATATTCTGATTACGTTATTTTGGAACTAAATTCCTACAAAGTGGAACAAAGTTAACCACATTAAAACAAACAACCAATTTCAAACAATTTTTAACTTAAAATTACGTATACCAGGGCCACTTCTAGACGCCGTGTCGAACCGAAAGCGAACTTTCACCCGTTCTTAATTTTATTGGTATCTGATTCTGTTAAATATGAATATATTATACTTCGGAGAACTCGTTTAATAATTTTTTTTTTTAATTTATACATGCAAGTACACATCTTTTAAGAATTTTTACGCCCTGAACAGGGTATATTAGGTTTACAAGGAAGTGTGGAACACCCAGAAGGAAACGTCTGAGACCATATAAAATATATATAACATTTATACATATACCATATAATCAGAAACTGAAGGACCGAAGTTAACGTTTTTTCTTGTTTCAAGTCATAATCGGAATAGAATTCAAACTAAAAGTGAAAATTATGGAAGCAACATTTTCCGCTACACAATTTTTAATTTCATTCAATTGTGAAATTGTTTTCGTCTTAAGTAAGATTTGTGGGACAATAAATATCTATAAGTAGTTCTCAGTGATTCAAAGATAATTATTAAATAATCAAATATTACTGTACACTTATTAGTACAGAGTTCAACTCTTTTTTTTAAGGTGAATTTGACTGGAATTCTTATATTTCCGTATTATAACTTGTGAATGAAAAATATTACAAGTTGGTAAGATATTTATTACGGGTTTCGGTTAAATATCTCGCATAAAGCTGTTATGTATATGTTATGTGTCACTAAATCGCCTGTCAGAATGAAATTGGAATTCCTCGTTGATATTGATATCATTGCGTAAATATTTTAGGAATACTAAATATGCCACATTTAAATATGTATGTAAAATGTATATATTTCTGCACAACTTCACTTACTGCAAACGATCTTCGGCAGGACCACCCTTAAGAACGTCGCTTACAGCTATAGATGGATCACCGTTGGCGAAATGTGGGTTGTCACGACCGCCTGAAACTGCAATACCAAACCCATAACCCGGAACACGTGTCACAGAAACTGTGTGGTATTCCCATGTTGTACGATCACCCTGTAAAAATATAAAATGAAGAAAATAAATATTAATACGCTCATACAAATTATGAACAGACCTACACATGTGCATTCATAACTACTCCAAAATGTATGTGGGACGGCATGTACAAGAACGGAAATGCATAGCTCTTCCGTAAAATAAAAAAAATATGCATTATTTGTATTATGCGTATACATACAAACTCATATGCCCCTACTGTTTTAAAAAATACCAAATGAAGTGTTGGCAAAATAATTATTTACCCTTGTTATGAGGTTAACTGAATCTAAATACGACATACATATATTATTTGTCCTTTACGATTAAAGTTCTTACAGGGGTTTACCCTCCAAAAACGTACTAAATTGTTAAAGTGAATTTTTTTCAAATATATTTAAAAATAGAAATATCGATATTATCTGTACTTATTTTAGTACAGATATTTGCAGGTTTTTAATATGATGATGATAAAATCTCATTATTGTACCAATAGGTTTAATTTGTTCGACTGGATTTTTTATTTTGGTCAGAATAATTAATGTTTATAAAATTTTTTATTTCGTACAGTTGAAGTTACAGAAAAAAATCTAACCTGTTAGAAGAGAGAGAAATGTTGATATGGAACTAAGAAATATGTATTATGCACTACCATTATTATTATTATTGCCGACACTAAAATTTATTTGAGTTTATAATCTCTAAAAGCATCACAAAATAAGTAAGGAAGTTTTATACTCTCGCAACTTGCAAGAATCAAAGCCCGGGACATTACTTCAGGTGTTGGCAAAGTTTTATATTAAAGGAAGTATTGATCCGATTAAACCTATTTTTGACACATACTATTATCGAGAGTTTCATTTATTTATTTTATTATATGAATTTAAATTATAATCTTACACATTTACCCATATTTTCGGTAAAAAGTCAACTATAGGCACTCCACATATTCAGTACGTAGTGGCTTGAACAGTTTTAGTTCGATTTAGACTATTTTTGGTCACAAGGTGGCATTCTTTCAACGCATTATTCACGCAAAGTGAATCCAATAATTGTTGTTTGATTTGCATAGTGGAAAGTGAAAGAATCAGATGAAATTAAAAATGGTGTTATATGGCAAATAGGCGTGGTTGTAATCAGATTTCGCCCATTTTCGCACTATTAACATAGAAATATGAAAATAATGATATGTACCGATTGGTTGAAATCGGTTAAGCAGATCCCAAGTTATGTCTAATTTTTAACGCGGTTCCTATAAAATCATCTCATACCATCCCAGAGATAAAATTTAATGTCTCTGGCGGGTTTACTGCTTGATTTATCGCGCATATAGTATGTTTTTAACAGCACCGTTATATGGATAGAGGTACTAAAAACATTTGGTCTCACTAAATTTTGCTATTATGACGTTAGCGGTTTAGGAGATATTCACATTAAACCTATTAGAGGCAAGACCAAGTCAAAAAAAATTTAAACTGCAGATGCCCCACCCTGATGTGATCCTGTATAACAGTCTTGTATCTTATTGTGGAGCTATATCTAACTAGATTAGTTTTAGGTGATACAAACAACCGTTAGGTGAACAAAATTATTATACTCTGTAGCAACAGGTTGCGAGAGTATAAAAAGAAACTGGAAGCTTATCTTATTGTAAACAAACTGAAATTGTAGATAAAATTATCTAAAATTATCATAATAAGTATATGAGTAAATATGATATCATCTCACAACAATTTAACTATATTATCTTTATACTTTATACAGAATGCCATCTAATGTTTTAATTAATTCCAATAATAATTTGGTTAAAAATGCTATGCCAAAGGATAACAAAAAAAAACATATTTATACAGACGCAATAAAGAGGCACTTTTCTTACCAAAATGTTATTCGGGATATAGTCTGGGAATTTCATTTTCAAGGAATGCGAAGAATCACAGATGAAAAAGGAGCCAAGCTCAGATTTCGTTTTGGTACTACTTTCCTAATTTAGTATTACATGTCCCAAGAAGGTCTTTATAATTAATCAATGCTCTAAAAATTTTAGGCTGAAAATCGCACAAACTAATTGGTTATACACAAGAATATATGCTCAACTGTCTTCGCTACATTTATGATGACACGGCACTTGAATCTTTGACCGACAGAAATATCTTTACATTTAACATAAACAAGAAAATATAAATCAATGTATTCTTATTCACTTTTAAACACTCAAATGTGCTAATAAACTATTTGTGTTTATTTTGCAATTTCTTTATGGGTGTTTGGGAAATATACGCGCAAAAAAGCCGCCTAGAAAAAAATGTAAGCTCTGTGCCCACACATTGAAACGCGATACGAAACTAGACGACTCGCTTGTTTGGTGTGTGGATTGAGCTCACAAAACGTGGCTCGGCGACTCGTCTGACTTCATCAAAAATCAAGAGAACATATAATTTATATGTATTTGGATATGTGTATATCTGCGAGCATTCACAAATGCATGTTTGGGTATGCGTGTACATTGTACAAGTGTTCATACAAATCCAAGCGAATGCACTCCGAAAAGGAATATGGAAAAATAACGTTGAGGAAACAGTAATGTAGATACCCATGTACATACATATATACATACGTAATTCCGTAGAATGAAATGTAAACAAAAATGTGAATAAAAACTAACAAACAAAATGATACCGAAGCGCTCCGGCTTCATGTTTACACATACACATACGTTCACATGTATCTTCAACTTCATTCCTACAAGTCGTCAGACGTTACCTATATACATACATATGTGTACATGCGTATGTTTGTGTTTATAAATACCTTCCGACCATTGTACAATACCAGTGTTGGATATTGGATTTTATGTGCATTTGCCTACATTAGTACGAGCACACACACATAAATTGACAGTAGGGTACAATGAGGGCCAGTAAAGTAGTCATTCCACATTCTTTAGCGGAATAAGCTTGGTTAAGTTACCTTGTGCAAGTGTGTATGTAAAACAAATAATTTTTTAGATTTTTTCCAGTTTTTTTAAACTACAGTGTAGCAGTTCATTCTAACATAAGCACGTAGGTATTTGCATGTTTATAAATACACATGTATAAAAAATGTATTGATTATTTAAACTATTTTATTAGTAGTACTCGGACTAGTACTTACATGGAGATTAAAATAACACACACATTTACATATAAAACACATAGAAAGTCTTTAATTTGTTGTATTTCTTGTACGTACATATATTCTTCTAATAATTATCAAATAAATTTTTAAACTCCCTTTTTACTCTCCCTCTATGTTTCCCTATATTTATTTATAATAATATTTAGGGGTTGCCAATATTAGCGCATCAATAATAAAATAAAAATTGTATTGTATCTTTAGTTATTAAATACAACATGCATCCGTTGAACCCAATACACAATTTCAATGAGGTGGAGTCGCATGTCAAAAATAGTTCCATCAATAGTTCAATCTATACAAATAACCTGGAATCAAATTTAAGACATATTGGAAAACTCGTGTTCCGCAGAGTTTCAAATCACGCAGGAAATTTCCATCTCTTCTTCTTTCTTAATAGTTTTGAACGCTATTGCAGCACAGTATATGTAGGTTAAAACGTCAAACGATCTCAAGAAACACCAAGGCACGCAGTTTTGCGCAACAGTTGAGGCTTTACTTCAGGCGTCACGCTGACAAGTGCATATGAGTGCATTCATACTGGTCGCAATATAAACATGCACATGCCTATTTAAATATATTTACTCCCTTTTGAATAGCCACTTGTATACACTTGTTGAAAACGAGCTCAAAAGATAAACATCGAGTTAAATAGAAGTGCTGAAGTATAATTATGAAAGCACAAAAACCATCCTAGAGTATATTTTTACAAACTTACAAGTACCTATATAGTATATGGTATGTGTTAGTTTAAATCCACTTATGGTTGGGCCACTCACTGGATTACGCTCAATAGAATTTATATACATACGAGTATATGTAAGTATTCTTTAACTAATATAGTGAAACCTCAATATAACGAATTCAAAATTGTTAGTGAAAAAAAAAAACGAATTTATTATTTATTCGCAATAAAAATGTCATTTGTAAATTTTCAAATTAGCCAAGCTTTGAGTATATAACGCCCGATTTGAATAATATAATAATTAGACAAGCTGAATTTGCAAAAGTATAGCATATGGCTTTTCAACTGAATCTGAGAAAATTGTTTTCGTTTTAACTGCTAACAAAGCGAATTGCAACTTTATATCATCCAGGTATTCCTACAATAACCATCCATTATTTCATTAATTTATAAAGTTGCAACTACCAGGAATTTCATCATCTGCCTGTTAAATTTTTAATATTGAATATTAGTATTACATAATGTGTTTGCTATCACTATCATTTCTACAAAAGGCTGTTACTACAATAAGCTATAAAAATGTGGCAAGTTTTCACGGAAAATTATAAGCAGCTGCGAAAGTATCAAAGTAGATTTGCACTTGTACAAACCTTAATGAAAGTATGCAGATTTTAACTAAAGGTACAGGACTTTTATGTGATATAGCCGCGTATATAAGTATATGTCTTTTATAAATTTGCAAGTGACTTTCATTTTCTAGTTCGAACACTAATTAATAAACCTAGTTTTCTCTTTAAGTTGTTAACTTGCCAGCGTTACTTAACGAAAAATTCAGTAATTGAATAATAATTTATTCATCAGAAAGAAAGTGAATACAATTTGCTATTAAAACACTAACTCAGTTTCTCTCGATGTGTTGACAAACCTTCATATATAGGTGCAATGTACCTCTAATGGTGAAATCACTATACTTCACTAAACACAGAACAATCGGAACTCACTAATGCGCTGTTGGTATAAGAAACGAAAAAAAACTCTAGTAAACAGCACCAGCAACCATTCTATAACCAGATTAAATTCGCTTTCGACTGAGTGATTAGTAACCACAGCGCCTATTTATGCCTTTAACAAGCATAATCAAATCAAATAAAAATCTCAATCAAACATTGCTGGAGTCAATGACGGTGCGCCAAACGACGCTATGAACTCGTCCCGGTGCATTGAACGTTTTCGCTTGAATATAAACCAGTTTAGTTATGTTGCCAAACGAGATGCCTTTAATAAATGAATATTGTTGAACGAAATACAGATCAAGAAAAAAACTTGCTCATATAAATATACACACGCATACCTATAATTTAATCGTTCTTCGTTGCCTTCTCACTTTTAAAATTGTGTGAGGCGGATAAGTGAGAATATACATGTGTAAACTCCGATTTTAAAATATTAAAGTAAATATTTTTGTTTAAACCATTCAAGTTCGTTTCATAAGTCTTTAGTTTATACAGTCTTTATCGCATTTTCCTTAGTATTCTGGGGTTTAAACAGATAATAGAAAATAATAATTCCAATTGAATTTGTAGCCCCATAATTTCAATAATTTAAATGAATGATGTATTACCTGTTGAGAGTCAAGCCGAAAATTATTGTTTGGCAAAGCTAGCTGATTGGTCCCAGGGGAGCCTATACCACTATCCATTATATTTCTTAATCGCGCTGATTGATAGTAAATATTTAAAAGTATAAAGTATAACAACTAATATCACTTTTTTACATATTCGGTATTTTTATGCATTTTGGATTAAATTCAGCCGGAATTGGGCACTGACTTTCCTTTCTTTGTTACAAAATTTACAGTAATATAATATGAGTAAGTAATTCAACTTTTTCCTATGTGTGAGTTTTATTTGTACGTATTGGTAAGCATGACAAAAACACGCGAATAACAGGTTAGCAGAGGTTTCCTTTATGATGCAGCAAAAGTGTAAACAGGTATTTTCATATTTAGATAGAAAACAGGAGCCACTGGATTTGCATTATTTATCAAGCATATATATAAAATATGTACATATACACATAATTACTCAAGCAATTTCACTTAAACACAGTATATTGATGCACACTAGCTCTCTTAAGCTTGATTTTTAATTGAAAAAACCTTTTGCAAAGAGGTTTAATAATTTTTACTTTTATGATTCGGTGTACTGTAAGCAGATTTCACATTCACTTTTCTTCTATTAGTCGTTGATTTCGTTTATGCAAATGCATTTTAATCACACTATCCTCACTGAAATGAGAACTATGCTCCGCCAATGGTACCACGTTTACGTGCATGGATGGCAATCAACAGGCACGAGCACAGCAACATGTTAGAAAAAGTACAGATCTCAATGTTCCAATACAGGTAGATACTATTCTACTGCAATGCAACCCGCACCGCACCTTACGTTTTTCGATGGTGCTTTAAAATTTGTCCGCTAATCACAACCGTTCGCGGTGAAATCTCGCACGCTTTTGAAGCTACAATTGGACTCATGTAAGAGCCTGAGTACTGGCTTGAAGTTGCTCAAATGCTACGCTACAAAGACGCAAACACACTCAACCGAAATGTTAAACTACCTGCTACCCGATTTGCTCTCAGACACATTCCAGCGAAGTTGGCGAGCACAAGTGAAGAAAACCAAAAAGGTTCGTATGGAGAACGCTTAAGCCACTGCTTCCTCTGCACAATTAATTTCGAACACGACTAGACTGACTGAAACTGAGTTCAACTACAAAACGGCAAAATTGCTACTGAATGCTACACAGTAGCACAACTGCTCTATATTTTGTGTGAAATTACGACTTAATATATGAAAATGTTCAGGATTCTTTTCGAGGTGTTCAAAGTGCGTTGAAAATCTATACATGAACCATAATTTTTAAAAAGGACGGTTGTGAAAAAAATGTCAAATACGCAAAATATTGCCGAAATTTCGGATCGGGTCAAAGAAATACTGAACTCAGAAAGTTTCATAGTAAACTCATTAGTTTTTTCATCATCCATAACGAACTACAAAGAAAATGTACTCTCAAAAAAGATAAAAGCAAACATGATATTCTAACCTAACTTTTAAGTGTGGAAAATATTTCTGCTTATCGATAAAATAAAATAATAAAATGGTGAAATGCAATAAAATCATTTCCAGGAAAATCGATTCACAATTCACATAAAATGATGCCAGCTTTTGTGAAGGATTCTACGGGGTTTTCTACGCATCGGCAACAGCGTATAATGAAGTCAAAGTAGTATAGCGAATCAGAAGGAGCTAGCGACGTTGGCGGCGGTGTCGTCCTTCTGTAAAGCAATTTAATGCGTTGTCTCTGCTTTGAAAAGAATAATGATTTCTGATTTCTTAACTTCGGTTGGTGCTTTGAATTTACATTAACTTGCGAAATGTCCTTAAACCATGGAGGGGTTAGAGAGTTCCTCCGAAAAAAAACACATGTTTGTAATATTGTATAGAATTTATCATCTTTTATATATTGACTTGTGAAGTATACACACACATACAATTTTTTTCTCGAATTAAAATGACAACTTGACTGTAATTTGAGAAACAGATAAGTTTTTAAATAATGTTACAAATATAAATCATTTAAGTAATAATAATAATAATTTTGACCCCTTCACTCTCGCATATAACGAATCAATCAACATGCAAACAGATTCATCTCTCATAAAACTAGCTGCCATCCTTCCAATACAACAATTTCTAAATTCAAATAAATTTTTGGATATAACATTTCTTGTTAAAAGATAAAATAGCAGAGGTTCAAAAATAAGAATCCCTTGCATAACAAACCTTTGAGTTTCTTAAGTTTATCTGCTTATCACTTGCCATATATGGTAGAGCACTTTAGAAAAAATGTTGATTTTCATTCAGAACGGATAATTGTCCATGCATTAGAGTGCTTTATTTTAGGAGATATAGTTTGTAAAAAATTAAAATGTATGCCGTTGAATAAATGTTTTAAGTGCCATGGTGACGTAGTACATTTAAAAATTCAATTACGTATATAAATAATATAGGGCATTTTTTCGACTTTAAATCGTCTTTCGATAATTTTTTTGGGAGTTGAAGGATCCATTTCAGGTAGCACAAAGAAAAAAATTGTCGCTATAGTAGGAAACAACCTAATATGCGTATATACAATACATACTTTTTTTAAAAGAAAAGTTTAGAATTTTTAAAGAAAAAAATGAAGAAATAGATCTAAAATTGATATAACGTAACGCTAACATATGTATGGTTTCAAAATTCAAACAAACTCACTCTTCATTATATATAGATTTTTATCTCACATAAAATGTTGTACACTAAAACAGACCATATATTTTAAAGAGTGATTCATGGTAAACTAAAATACTCTTGTTGTTATATTTTGGTATGAAAAAAGTCGTATAAATCTTGAGTTGCCATTTTACCTTTTTCCTACGTCGATTCGACATAGTGGAGTATGGGGATCCCCGTCCACTTGCATCATAGTTTTCAAATTTTTCCGAAAGTTCATTGTGACTGTAACCTTTATCTTTGTCCTCCTTATCGCCAACACTACGAGCCAGACTACTAGCTCGCGAGCGACTAGTCTCACCATTTAAACGCTGCTTCTGTATTAAGTACATTTCGTTTGCTAAACTTATTTCGGCGGCCGCTTTCCGAACGTTGCGACGACTTAAAGAAGTATTATTGTGGTTTTCATTCCTACATTTATCCACTGTTGCAGCTGCACTACTGCTAGCCAAGTATTCGCCTGAAATATGCACTTTAGGCGTGGTTACTAACTGCAGACCAGCAGCACCCGTTTCCTCGGGAAACTCATGAAGTTCATATGGATAACGCGGATCCATTGCTTGTCCCGCTTGCCGAGGGTACATATAGGCATCGCGCAAAAACATTTTCGTTGTGGTGTAAATGCGATCGTCAATTTGGTAAAGACCGTTAGCACCCGGACCTTCTCCTCCACCTATGATGCCGTTACGTATAAAAGCGGTGGGCGTGTATCCGGCGCGTATATAGCGGGCTTGTGTATTGATCGTGTTCAGGCCACCGCCATTGCCACTACTGCGCCGGCCCGTTGCAGACTGTGGAGGCAGCACAGTTCTGCGCTGTTTAGCTTTGAAACTGTGCCGCCGTGAATTATACTTTAGAAGCTTCATTGTAACGTTTGTGGATCGCAGGTCATTCGATATATTACATGTAATTATATCAGCCTAAAAGTAGGCAACTTTCTGGTTACTTCCGAATGCATACACACATCAACACGGCCGATGTAAATACATGTATGTTTAGGTATTATTGCACGTACGTATTTCTAACGGTTTTAATGAAATGTTTTAAAAATTTTGTCGCAGCTACATTTTCCTAGCACTTTCACTCGCGAATCTTTGAAAACGAATGACTGAAATTATTTTCGTAATTTTGTATTTTTGTTACGGCTCTTCTTTTACCCAACGCGACGCATGTAAAAAGACAAAGTAATAAGCCAATTAGTTTATGTGATTGCTTTCGTCCAACATTAACACGGGCTGGTGCTATGCCACCGTCTGCTTTGTCACTTCGGTTTTGTATACCGTTTGTAAGTCTCTTAAATTTTTGTAAATATGTGTGCGTACTATATGTACGTTTATCTGTATCTATATCTTTTAAATTTTATGCAGTTAGTTTGAGTGTTTTCCAAGTCGTCACTGAAATGACACACTTTAAAAAACGCCCTTCGTAGGCACTTTTAATTTGTTAATGATGAGCCAGTCATTTTTCTCGATTTTTTGTGACCTGTTAGATTTAGTTTTCCGATTACATTTTAATTCTTTTATTGACCTAAATACCAAAAATTGTATCATCGTAACTTGGTAGCAAAAAAGAATTTACATAAGTACACAAGTATTGACGTACAAATTCATATATTTATGTGGTAATCGGATAACGTTAAGCAAAATTTGACTGTAAGTACATATGTATATTCAATCATATAATTTTGATACATATGTACATAAGCAATAATTTCTCACAAAATGTTTTAATGAAATTATTAATGGTGGTGTCAGTAGAAAATAGCCGAATAGATATAAATTATTAAAATATGTAATAAAAACTGTTGACGGCAATAAATTCGAAAAGTAAAATAATTTTACTTGGTTTTAAAGTTCATTTTGGAAAGGATAACTTTTGACCAGAACGCTAATAAACCCGTTGAGCTCTAATTTTTTTTCAGAATAAAGACCTCTATACGAAATACCCGTGTTTCCGTTTGAAGCTTTCGAGCACACTTCTGTCAACAGTCAGCGCCGAATTGAAACTAAAATGAATTTTAGTCAAAGAGGTTCGAAAGGAAATATCTAACAAAAGCGATACCAAACAAAGTAAAAATGTAGGCAGAATTAATTGTTGCTGCACTTTCCAGTGGAATTGATAAGCCTTACAAAATAATTTTCTGCCTGTCAACCCTATTCGGACGCCGGGGCGTATACCACCATTGACAGAGAGATTTGACAGAGAACACACAACCTTTGCTTTTGGTGTACAAATATCAGTTCAGCCAAGATTTTATGCTTATGTAAATATTAGTATGTGATAAATAATAGTTTTGTGTTTGGTTGGATTACATTAATACTGTACACAGTGCAAGGCAGTTGAATAATTTATTTATTTTTACCCAAAAACCATTTAATACTCATGCATTACACAAAACCTGTCAGGGAAGTCATAATATGGGCACGCTATCTAATATGACGGAAGCAAGGGTTAGGAAGCATCTCTTATATAAGAAGAGTGAATAACTGTGAATAACTATTTACGTATCTCGCTACTTCAATAAAAGTACTTTTTTCCAGTTACCAGTTAAATAATTATTTCTAAAGAATGTCGTTATAAAAGAGGTGCAAGTCAATTCCAATCAAACTTTTATTACGTTCTTGGGATGACAGAGGTTTGAATGTGTCCATTTCCGAAATCCTTTTAGAAAAGTTTGTACTTCAAACCGAAGGTGAATCTTGTAGCATGAAGCTAATAAACTATGATAACTGCAATCAAAATAATTCCCGATTATGTCTTCCAAAAAAAAATTTAAAATATTTGTGAATCAAATAAAATTATTAAAATACTTGTACACAATTTTTATTTCTTCTGACTGAATGTGACTGTTAAATTAGGGGCGTATAGCGAGCTAATCAATTGATTATATTTTTATATACATATAAAAAGTTAACAAAACTAACAACATATTTAATGGAGGGAGGTTACTCTGCTGCTTATCCCATTACTCACATTCATGGAGATTTTGATCGCCGATCAATGGCGCAGCAATAGTTAATTCGTTAGCAGTAGTATATGACCATAATATATCAACTGTGATTCATTACATCAATATCTATTCTCCGACCTTCCCGATGCCATCATCGTATTTTAACTAATGTGATAATGTTCATATTATCTTAATGAATATATAACTTATAAATTACATAATTTAGCCTACTGCAATTTTTCAACAAACTAAGAATGAGGTAAATACTTAGTTTAAATAAATCAATAATCAAATTAAGAAGTATCGGATCTGAGTTTTACCGACAATATTCGCGAAATTGACAGTGTTTGCGCCATATATTTGTTAATTACACAATCTACTCGTATAAGGGACCACTTCCGACCAAATCACGACTACCGACGACTGTGGAAACTAACCAATACACACCGTTCATAAGCCCCATGCATAAGAAAGGGATGAACGATCACACATACACAAGAGTTTCGGTTAGATTTGTCAATTCGGTCTTAACAAACTCATAGAAACTAGAATAGGTGTAACCGAACATTTTATACTCTCTCAAGTTGCAAGGTATTTTTGAAATACTAAAAATTATCAAATAAAACAAGTAAGGAAGAGCTACGTTCGGGTGTAACCATATATTTTTATTTCTATATATATAATAAGTTATTGCTTGCACGGACAGACAGTCACTAGGAACTCAAATCGCCTTGTGATTTTGTTCATTTATATACTCGTGTCTGTATATTACTCTATATCTATCTCGACTAGTTTTAGATTAGTAATAAATGTAATAAAAAGTGAACTAAAGTACTCATATTGCTGCTTCTAATTTTCACTGATTAAATTATTATAAACAGGAAGTTCCCACACCGCTGGCAAAAAAAAACAAATTAAGAGTCATGACTTATTGAGATATCTTACTAGATATAAAAATGAAACGCTATTACGTAATGTACCCGCAGAACGTCCGAATCACAGCACGGAATCACAGCGATGAGACCCATTTCTGGCTCAATGGGTATGTAAACAAGAAAAATTTCCGCATTTGGGACGAAGAGCAACCTGAAGAGATTCAAGAGTTGAAATTTTATCCAGAAAAAACAACGGTTTGATGTGGTTTGTGGGTCGGTGAAATCATCGGTCCACATTTCTACAAAAATTATGCCGGTGAGAACGTAACCGTCAATGACGACCGTTATGGCGCGATGATAACCGACTACTTGATGACAGAAAGTTTGAAAGATGACTTGTTTCAACAAGACGGCGCCACTTCCCACACATCGATCAATCAATTAATTTGTTGAGAGTACACTTCGGTGAGCAGATAATTTCACGGTTTTGGCCGGTCGATTGGTCACCAAGATCGTGTGATATCACACCGTTAGACTTTCTCATATGGGAATATGTAAAGCCTAAAGTCTATGCGGACAATCCCGGTTTGATTCAGACCTTGGAGCAAAACATTCGCCAGTTACCAATCGAAATGCTAGAACGAGTCATCGAAAATTGGACTCAATGAATGGACCATCTGAGACGTAGTCCCGACCAACATTTTTAAGAAATAATCTTCAAAAAATAAATGCCAAAAAGTGTTCATTCGAATGATAATAAACATTCCCTATTAAATTTAAATTTTCTGTGTTTTTTTCTTTAAAAAAAGTAGAAAACCTCAAAATGTATCACCCTATATACCTCGATTAGTTTTAGGTGATACAAACAACCGTTAAGTGAAAAAAACTATTATATTATGTAGCAACATGTTGAGAGTATAAAAAGAAGCACAGCAGGGCTAGCCGGGTACATCCAGTTTTATCATAAACCAAATGTTTTACGCAGCAGTGTAAGCATAATTTCAGTGAAGGCATTAGGTGAAACTATAATTTATCAAAATCGGCACCAACTTAAGCATTTTCAGATCTCTTTCACTTTTAAAAAATAAATCACTTTTAAAAAGTAAATATCAAAATTACTGGCTTACACGAGTAAAGAACATCACACCTAGTAAGCAAATACTTCCCACCCAAGAAATCAATGCTTTTATTTCACTAATTTATCTCGTACCTTTCGTGTCTTTTGTTGAAAGTGGATACAGTGCTTGGCATGGTTGAAATATTATTTTAGAATAATTAGAAATATTTAAAAGTATTTTCTCAAATCAACAAAAAACATGGAACTATTTCAAACTTCTCACTGTTACCATTTGTAGAGTTATAAATAATATTAAGTAATAAAATAACACGTCATGTTCTTACTGGGTATTATTATCTACGAGTGTGCATATGTAATACTTACGAAGAATTCATCCTCTATGACGGGATCGGCGAGCATCTCAATGGCTTCAGTCATCGAACGGCACGTTCTATTAGTATTCTTTTTCTTCTTTAATTTCCGGCCCAATGTGGCAGCGTCACTAAACCGATGAAGAAGTTTCTCACGCTTTCGTACACCAGTAGGGCTGGACGCTGAGTTGCCGTGACATAGCAGCGATGAGTAATTATTATTGTTGCTGACCATTGCATAGCTCTCTGAACTCTCTCTAGTGTTTACATAAAAATTCGGCAATTGATATTGGGTGGTCGATGTTGTTCCGGTATTCGAGTCGAGTTTCTGGATTAGATTATAATCAGACTGCTCGTATTTACTAGGCAGAGGTGGGGTGGCCGAGACGATTTTTACTGACGCAAGTTGAGTGGGTTTTGGTGGTGGAGGCGGAGGAGGCTCTTTCATAAGTGATATTCGACGTGGAGCAGCACGTGGCAACGAACCGACATCGTGATTTATATCACCATAGCTAACTGATAGTCGATTGCGATCGTTTTCCTTTTCTCTATAAGTAAAAGAACAATTTGCATAACGGATATATAGATTACTAAAAATAGTTAAATATAGTTTGTGTTAACCTAATACATTTATAACATAAGTACATTTGTGAATATATCTAACCTATAACGTATTCGTTGTGAAGGTGTATTAGTTGCAAAGGATACAAAATAACCAAGCTGTGACGGAGACGATGACATCAGGAAAGAACGATATTGTGATGTTCTCTTCTTATGCTCCAGATATAACTTTTGTCTTTGTATACCGTCGTTATATATTTTAATTTCAGTCGTTAAATCTTGTGAGCTTAGCGAGGCCATGCTGTCATAAGGCGTTTCATCGGAACTGTCGTCGGTAGAACACTCCGGTACAGTATAACATATAAAATTGTGTGCTTCATAATCTACATTTGCCATTTCAGTAAAATGCCGTGCGGCGTATTTTTATTTTATTAAGCTATTTACACTTTTGATGGCATTGCTATCATATTCTATTGATCACATCGGATGTGATATTATTATTTCCCTTTATAGAATATTATTAAAAATAAATAAATAACTACATTGAGAGCTGAATCTTAAATACGAAATTGAAAGCGTCAAAGCGTATCCCTAGAAACACCATGACATCTTAAAAACTGTAGTCGTAGCAACCAATTCCATCTCACTAATAATTCGCACACTATAATCAGTGGAGCGTTTCCTTACGGGATCAGTAACATTTATTTCAAAGCATTTCGTTAAAATGTATTATCTTATTTTTTATTTATTCTCTGATAATATATTTTCAACTTCATTTAGGTTAGTTTTGAAAAGTGTATTTAATCATTCATCTAATATAATGCATAAATGTATATATTTCAGTAAGCATATAAGTGTCCACTAAAAATAATTGAGTTCACTGTGACAGGCTGTATGAATTGCATGCGAAAATTTTATTCATACACTTGTATGTAAGTACATTTTATTATGATTTTATTTTTATACTAGATCACAAACTACTCCACGGATCGGATCGTAAACAATCCCGTTTGCTTGACGAAATATATAGAGTATTATCATGGACTTTATACTACACGATTGACTAAAAGCATATATATATATATATATATAAATGCATTTTACACAGAGAGATTAAACTTTTAGAAGAATTACTAGTAACTAAGTCGGACAAATATCCCAATGGGCACTTGCTTACGAACTAAAGATATTTAGAAAGAGCCACACGCTACATCCAAAATTAAAATATATATCAGCGCGTGTGTCTGTACATAAAATCAACTCTGTGATGTATGAATTTATTTTCGTATTTACTCATGTCTGTAGATGAACGTGTAAAGCGGGAGAGGAAATGGGTGATCTATTGTGTGGTGACAGTGAGCATCAGACATCGGAAGCGCAAACTGAGAAAACATTGTTACAGAGAGCATAAATGTACACTGTGGTTGTTTCTTAACAGTATAACAGATTAGGTACATAGGAAAACTAAATTAAATATTATAAATATAAAAGTAACTACCTTAGCCGATAGTCGAACTTTTGTTCACGAAAACCCCAAGGCGTTGGAAACAAAGTTTTTTTATCAGCTTCATTACTTTCGGACACATACATATGTATATTAATATCTCCAAAACTGATTTAAATGTATAATTAAGTATTAAAACCCTTAATTTAAGTTTTAAGTTGCAGCCTATGTATTCTATAATATATTAGATTTAAATGCAAATAGATTTAAATGATTACAATAAATCCAAACTGAGTTCTTACTCTTTTATATAGTCAACTAAGACATATCTAAGACATATCTGACATTAACTCAATCGAAGGAGCTAAATTTTGTCCACTAAAATATAACACTTTTTGACCAACCTAAACGGGTTAAAGACAGGTGGGAAGTCGGAAATTGCCATACAATAATTTTTTCCATTTCTATTTTTTCTATAGCATTACTACATATTATTAACAGAAAACGGTGTTCTCTGAGTTTCATTAAAGTACTTTACTTACCATTACCAATATACATATAAGGAGTAAAATCAACTAGATGTTGGCAAATCCTTATATTAGTTATATGGGGTCTAGGGAAAGTTTTCACTTGATTTTATCCATCCTATGCTCAATGATGCACCATTATTAGAAAAATACGCTCTCTTAATTTTCTTAAGATGACTCACATATTGACACAAAGACATACTATTATCGATAGTTTCATTTATTTATTTTAATATATGAATTTAAATTATAATCTTACACATTAACCGATATTTTCGGTAAAAAGTCAACTATAGGCACCGAGGTCCACATATTCAGTACCTAGGGGCTTGAACAGTTTTAGTTCGATTTAGACAATTTTTGGTCACAAGGTGGCATACTTTAAACGCATTATTCACGCAAAGGTTTACCCCGGGACAATCATTGTTGCTTGATTTGCATGGTGGAAAGTGAAATAATCAGATGGGATTTAAAATGGTGTTATATGGCAAATAGGCGTGGTTGTAATCCGATTTCGCCCATTTTCGCACTATAACATAGAAATATGAGAAGAATGTTATGTTATTTGGCTGAAATCGGTTAAGCAGATCCCAAGATATGCGTTTTCACCTATAAGTGGACGGTGCCACGCCCATTGTCTAATTTTGAACGCGGTTCCTATAAAGTCATCTTATACCATCCCAGAGATAAAATTGATTGTCTCTGACGTGTTTAGTGCTTGATTAGGTAACGTAATGAAAACGAGTAAGGAATAGGGATAAGGCCAAATTCGTGTGTTACCCAACATTTTAAAATCTCGCAATTTACAAAAATCAAAGGCGCGGAAATAATTTCAGATGTTGCAAAGGTTTGTTTTATGTACGACGAAACTGAATGAATTACAATAATATTTGATACATTTTGCATCGTATCCGATATATTTATATTTAAATCAATCTAGATAACTCAAATGAGATAGTCATGCTGTTAAGATTCTCTCTAATTTGTAATATTAAATATCCCGGATTGACCGATATGTTCGGACGAAACATATTGTAAAAAGTAATGCAACTCTCCTGTCTAGGTAGATAACCGTTTTTTTGTTTTAGTAGAACTGCTTCAGTGGCGCCAAATGTTTAGCACGCGAAAAGGTGTCAACAAAATTTATTGAACAGGGAGTCAAAGTATCTAATTCAGTTCTACGCAAACAAAGCAGTGGTATATAAAATATATCTATAATAGAAATTTGGGACGTTTTATTTTTCAATTTACTAAAAGAAATTTTATTTTATTGCAATTCAAAAAACGAAAGTCTATCAGTGAAAATATGGTAATAATGCCTCACAAAAATTATAAATTCATTCCCATAATCATATGCGTGTGTGTTTACATTGTATGTTTAGTTCGAAATGTTTTGGAAAGGCCATATTATTTATAAATGATATTCATGAATATTTATATACTATGTATTACATAGT